AAAGAGAACCCTCTCCCCTACACACATGTACACTCTGACCTAACTGACGTTCTGGGGTAAGGGTGAAATCTTTAAAGAGGTTGAGTGTTGAAAAATAAATTAATTTTTTTAAAACCGCTTATAAAAAAATAGTGTTTTCCATTCACCTGAAATGGAGAGTTTTTCTGAAAGGAAGGTGAATTGCTTTTCTCTGACTATCAGTAATACTCAGACTCAGTGTTTCTAAGTTGATTTTAAGAGCCTTAGGGACTCAATGCCTTTGTAATGAAAAGCAAAAGTTAATTACTACCCACTTTTAACTAGGGTTTTGTTAACAATAGTGTGCATATTTTTTGAGGTCCAGAATCTGTTTCCTGTGACAATCATTTCCATCCAAATCACAGGGGAAATACAGAGTCCTTGGTGCACAAAGTCAATTTCACTGACCAACCAGGACGGCATCTGCTCCTGGTCTGTTCCATTAGCAGTGACAGGCTTGCACTTATCCATTAACTGGCCCCCCTTCCCTGGTGCCCCTCACAACCAAGAAGGAAGCTTTGCAAGATAGCTGGGCAGCACGAAGAACACTGTTTCCCCATCTGTGGAATAAACAAGAGAAGCTACCAGGATTGCCCAGAAATCAAACTCATGAGCGTGACTCGTGACCCTCCCAACTAGATTAAGAGTCAGAAAAAAAAAGTCAAAACAGTGCTCATTCTTAAAACACATTTTCAAAATTATGTTTATGAGGAACCATGGGGAAGACACACGAATTAATCCAAGGGGCCTTTACCTTTTATATTCAGGTGTATCATTTTGTACAAAAAACAGTGCCAATGCCAATATCAAACTCTCTTTCCTTGAATTTCTGCCCCAACATGTCTGGAGACACATTTCATGAAAATCATTTAAACCAGAGTTAAAGGACCACCATTAGGGATTTTGGCATCTCCATTTATGTCATTCCAGAGATGGCACCACCCCAAACACAAATCTGTTCTCAAAAATGTGCACAAGAAAGTTCCCCGGGGAACCAGGGAAGTCTGGATAAAATGCACTGGCTCCCTGCCAGGCAAAGAACAAAATAATCGTCTGTATTAATAAGTTGTTTTTCTTTTCTTTCTTCCTCTTTCTTATTTTCTTGTTTTGTTGGAAGGGAGGGGAGTGTTTCTATTTTTCATTGTGCACCAAATCCCTAAAGACCACAAATAAATCCCTAAAAGTACACACATTAATGTTAATGCAGTCAGAACAGGGACAGTTAAACACCAAAGCAAGCAATGAAAATGAAAGGATTCCCGTCTTAGTAGCTCTTGGAAGATGCTTATCTTGCTGATGAGCACCTGTCAGGGAGAGATGATCTGTGCTCCAAGGAGTCCTGAAGATATAGTCAGGATGCTATGACCAGCGCAGCAAAGGAGTGGCTTGGATGGGAGGGGCCTTGACTTCCACCATAATCTCCATCAAGCCACACAAGCAAAAGCCACCCCAAATAAATATATAATCTAAGGAAAACCAGGGGGCTTGTTGTACAAAAGCAACTTCCAATACAGTTCCCCTGGCCACTATTCTGGTCAGCTGCCCCCTAAATGTCCCATAAGGGGTCAGAATGTCAGCATCTCCAACCACCCTTTGACTGGAGAAGCTGGGCATCCATGCTCTGCACATCAGCCTTAGGGAGAAGAGTTCCTTCCAAGAAGGAATCCCAGAGGGGAAGCAAGTGGGAGAACGCTGGTCTACAGTAAAACAGCTTTGCACCACCAATCAGAAGGCCTGGGTTCTCAGCCTAGACCCTGCCTACTTAGCTATGAGATCGGAAGCTACTGAACCTTCTATATTGCTAGTCTTCTCCTCCACAAAATGAAATGGCATCTCTAATAGCCCTTCTAAATCAAAATTTTAGAACCTACATCACCAAATGCTTCAAATGAAGACAATGACAACTATCTTTTTATAGCTATCCCTAGGGACCTTTATTATTCAGAACTTTCCGATGGACTTATATTTAGTTCAGAGACAACACTGAACATAAATGAGACTGTTCCATTGAAGATTTTTTTCCTTTATTAAAATTAATCCATGGGGTATTACTTTCTATAATTCCTTATTCTGAAATTAATGTCTAAAAAATAAAACACCAACACTCTGACCCAGACTGTAGTTGAGCTTCATTTCCTTTATCTCCCAGAGCTGTTCTTCCTTCCTGGAACTAAGGAACATTCTATGAGTTAAAATAAGGCTACAGAAATAGTTTAGTAACTCAAAAGATCTTTGATTTTTCATTGTATAATAGTGCTACTTCATCTGCTTTCAAGAAATGTGTTTTCCTTTAGTTGTATTGAATGGGAGTGACTGGCAAAAAGCAGTGTAAGGAAAAAAAAGGTTTTACCATGGATCTGTTTCTGGCTTGGCTATTAACTAGTTGCATGACACACATTACTTAACCTTTCTGAATCTCAGTATACTCATCTGCAAAATGTGGGTAATAACACACCAGTCCCCCTTACACTCTCTGCCACCAGGAGTTAAATAGGTAAGACCAGGCAAAAAACAGACAGTGTTGGTTCTCTCACGGACTCTCCAAAACAAGGAGAGTTTTTGCCTCACCTTCAAAAATATGGGCACTGCTACTAATTAACTGCAGTGCTTAAACAGAAACAAGTCCTGAAGTTCCATAGGGGCTGAATCAGGCCCTGATTCAGAGTTGAAGCAGAAGTTAGACTTCTAAAAGTCCACCTAAGTTGATGGTAATCATCTTTGAAGACACTGTTGTTTCCTCATTTTCAATGTTAAGGTCAACAAGACATAGTGCAAAGGGCGATTGTGGACACTGTAAGGTTTACTACTAGTCAGACTCTAGGGATATAACCTCTGGCAAGCTGGGCCCACTTTCCTCATCTATCAGCTGACTTGGTTTATCGGAATCCTTCCAGTCTGAAACTTCTGTCAATCTAAACTGTCCCCCTGCTTCTCTGACAAAGAAGAAAATTACTTTAGAATATAACTTTATGGAAGCTGAATTATGCTTTAGTCAAAAGGAATTAAACATTAATTAAGTTACAATTATACATTATATATTACAGGTGGATTCTGACTTTGTTGGCCAAGTGATGTGTGTCATGCAACTAGAAAGGAAGGGCCTCCACCTGTACCACTCAAATGTGATTACTTCACTCTGAAGCGGTGGGTATTTCAGTACAAAACGTTGTGAGTGGGGGGTAGGGGGGGAGGCCTGGTTGTGCTGTGCCTGAGCCTTCAAGAAAGCCTGAGAAAGGGAAGCAACCAGGATAAAGAGATTTTATATATAGTAGAGATTCCAGAGCTGGCTATTTTCTTGACAATCAGCTGCATTTGGGGGATTATTTCATGCAGCGCCAATTCTGCCCCTAGATTCCAAACTCCCATTAATAAATAAAGTCTTTAAGAGAAGAAATAGATGCTACACACCTCTAAGCTGAATGACTTCAGCTCAGCTGCCCAGGGAGTGGGAAGCTGTCAACCTTTTCTAGATACTCCGTGAACCAGTTTCATTCACTTGCCTCCCCAGTTTTGTACACAGATGTGTACTATTTCTATTGATTTACGCAGTTAAGATATACCCCCAAAACTGCCTACCCACATGGCATCCATCACTCAAGACCTTGCTCAAATGCTATCTCCTCAAATGCCAAAAAGCAAGAACTACGTGTATCATTTTAGTGGGGGTTGATTTTCTCTCTGGCAGCTAATGTCCCTAGGATATGCTTTGTAAACTCGAGCTACTTTGATCTTGCCTTGAATTGTACTTGGGTCTTGCCTGAACACCTGCTCCAGATGACAAATAAGGACTGATGTGCCCTCGGGAGCACACCCACGTTCTTTTTCTCTCCCAAAGCACCTGGCCCCTACCACAAAGTAATGGTTCAGTAACACATCTGATAGATTAAATGCTCTGTATTTAAATATAAATACTGTTTGACTCGCCAGTTTCTTTTCTTTTGCCACATCAAACCGCACTAGTGAGTTTCAAATTGTCCAGATTGGCTTCAAGCTCTTTTGCTATCCCCCCACCCGCACTCAGCAATTCTGAAATCAGCAGAAAGGTAGGGAGGCGGGAATAAGGGGAAGCCGGGGCCTGAATAATCCTCACTGAGTCATTTCCTGAATGATGGAGCTTGCTGCTTCGGGCACCGGGAGAATGAGCAGCACGCTGAGGACCAGCCAGGGCCTGCCTCCGCCCCTCGACACCAGTCCCCGGCTCCCCACCCGCCCAGCTGCGGCGGGACCCCAGCCGCTGCCCGCCCGCACCCACGTGCTCGAGCGCCCTCCTGCGGCCGCGCCGCAGCCCCCGCCGCTCCCGGCTCGCCCGCAGAACGCGCTCCCCGCGGCTGAAGAAACACGAGACGCAGAAAGTTTCCGAGCCAAGCTGCTTGTGAAAGGTCGAAGCCAGGTCCCGGAGCCTCGATGAGAGGGCGTGGCGGGAGCGGAGCCCAGGTTGGCGGCGACCGCCGCAAGAGGCCCAGGCCCAGCCTGACCCCCTCAGGGCTCCGAGGTGCCCCCCAGTGGGGGTTGGGGCCTCCAGCCCCCGGGAGCGAAGGGCTTCTTCCGTCCCCCGACCCTACATACACTGAGAGGCTGGGCCCAAGCTAGGACGGGATGCCCCCCACAGCTACCAGGGCGCGCCGGGGACGCTTGGGTTTGCTTTATTCATTTTCCTAATCGGAAGGAGGGGTGCACCCACTCTCTCTGGCGTACTGATCCCCAGCATCTGGATTGTGGGTGCCCCAAAAAAATCTGGATTGTGGGACGCCCACCTGGCGTCCACCGCCCCACCCAACGCCGCCCTCCCAAGCCTGGGGTGACAAGTGGAAACAGCAACTCTCCTTCCTCCTCCCCTTCCAGCCTTCTGATTTGGGGGGTAATGTTCCAGCAGGGTTCCCCTGCCGCCCGCAGTGGACCCGCCAGCCGGGAGGTGGCGGCGGGGGGACGCGGCGCCCCGGGTCTGGGGGCCAGGATCCGGCGAGGCCGGGCCCGGCGCTTACCTCGTCCACGGTGAGTGGCATGCAGATCCGGTACTCTTTCAGCAGCATGGTCCTGCCGGCCGCGGACCCCCGGGGCGGGAGCGGGGGCGCCCCCCAGACCAACGAGCCTGCCGCCCAGGCGCAGGGCAGGGCGCCCGGAGCCCTGCGCTCGGAGCCGGCCGGCGAAGCCGCCGCGGCGGTGTGCTCAGCTCCTGGCTTCTTCCTCTCCGCCCGAGAACATGTCAAGGTTTGGGTCCGGCTGCTCGCGACTCCCCCGCCTCCTTCCTCGCAGAGGTCTGTCCTCCCAGAACGCGGTGTTACAAAGTCAGGGAGGAAGGGAGACCCGCTGGAAACCGCTCTCCTCGGCAGCCCGGGGCGGTCGGAGCTGCCGCCAGATCAGAACATGCCCGGCGACCGGCGAGGAGGAAAAAAAGAGAGATTTCCCAAAATTAAAACAAATGCACAAAAGTCACCCGCCTGATTCGCCTCTGAAACCAGACATGAACCTGGCGACCCCCCTTCTCCGGCGTCTGCCCGATGCTAATGTCACCAGGAACACATTGCAGCCGGAGCCGGAGATGCTGACTTTCCAGACAAAGGCTCGATCGGTTCCTCTCCCCGAGCGGTAAACAAGATTTCCTGCTCTTTTTAGGGCCGGTCCCCGAGGCGCTCCAGGGCTCTGGGGGAGAAAAGGGAAGCGGCCGCTGCACGGCTCTGCCCGGCCGGGGCCGCGGGTTCCTCCGACCTCAGCTCGCGGCAGCGAGGGGCGGGAGAAAGGAGGCTGGCGCCTTCCGCGCGCGTCCCCTCCCCCGAGTCCCTCGGCTCCCCGAGCCCGTGCGTGCCCGCGAGTTTGCAGCCACCTCGGCGGGGCCGGAGAGTCCGCGCGGAGCTGCAGCGAGCCTGGGGCCGGGAGGCGGGTGCGGGAGGAGCGAGCGCGAGCGAGGCTGACATCAGCAGCGGCGGGGAGGGTAGCCCCATCCGGCCAATGGGGAAATGGCAAAGAATGTGGAGGATTTAAACAAAACAGCATGTCTCTCCCGGCTGCGTCCACACCGCAGGTGTGCCCCGCAGCCTAGCCGGCTGGCATTGACAAAAATCGAAACAGCGGGCTTCCCTCGGCTCTTTTACCCTTTGACTCTGTTCTCAAACGTGCCCTGGGTGTCCCAGTGCCTGCCCAGCCACTCTGGGTATCTTCTGCTTCCAAGGTACACAAGTGTTCCTTGACCTTTGGAAAAGGTCTTTACAAATGCCCACCCGAGATTTTTCACTTTGATCCAGAAAGCAAGTTCAGCGCTGGAGAGGCGATGGAATTTGAGAGCAGAGAACAAACCCTCACCTGATTTCCTAACTGGTTTCACTGGGCGCATACTGGAAAACCGGGAAGTGCCACGGTGTGAATGAAAACAAAGTAGAAACAGACACACTAGCAGAGAGAACAAGAACCGGACAGAGCCTTTCCCTCCCCTGGCCCTGGCTCTGCAGGCTGACTGCAGGCTTCGCAGAGCAGCAAGAATAGGCTTTCGTGTCAGCACTCCTAAGTTCAAAAAGTCACAGTGAAAATGTCAATGAAAATGCCTGGAGTGTTGGTATTTCATCCATATTAAACAGATCCCTCATTTTAACCACAAGAGGCACATTCTTCAGTTACTCAGGAAGCTGCATGTTATTGCTGAAGTCTGTTTTTCATTTGTCTGGTATTTTTAAGCTTGTTTTTCTGAAAAGTTGCTGGATGAAAAATATATCAGTTCCCTCTGTGCGGAAGAACCTGCAAGCATCATCACTTCTGAGAAAAATACTTGTGTGCTAAAGTCCTGCAGCTACTCATACAGCTTGGATGGCATACTTTAGCCTCAATATTACAATATTTTAAACTATGATTAATAAATAACCGATATAATTATGGTGGGCTCTGGCAAAAATCATCCAGATGGCTGGAGAGAATTTATAACTGTGTGAACATGATACAAAGCCTGTTGGAAAAGCAACACCCTATATCCAGCTTATAGTTTAGTGAAAACTTTTTTCTAGATAAATGCTTTCCCAGAGTTGGCTCAGAAATATTCCCAGCAACTAATTAAAGCTAAACCAAATTCCTCGAGGTGGAAAATCTAAATCTGACACTGTAGTGGTGAATAACACATTGAAAGTCTGTGATAAGGAAAGAAGCTCAAGCTGTTTTTTCTTTTTTCTACTTCTTACTTGAAAACAAGTGTAGTGGCTTTCCTTCTGGCACTTCACACTCTTCCCAGAGGCAGCTAGGGAATGTACTGGCTAGCCACACATATGTATGCATACAGGACATCAGATGTGTGGATATGTTTCTGGCTTTTAGATGCTTCCTGACTTTAAAGAACTACTTCTCTGAATTTCCCAAACTGCAAACCAACATGTATATGCTTCTCCCTTCGCTTCCTCTTCACCTGGTCCATCCGCATGCCTGGTCACATTAATCTTGTTCAAGCACAGGTCTAATCTTGTTACCTTCAAAATCTCTTAATGATTTTCCGTGGCCTGCTGAGCAAGTTGAAATTCCTTGTTAGGAGGAGAAAGGCTCTGAACATACCTTCCCTACATTAGCCAGTTACCCTCCCTCTGCCCTATTCCAACCTAATGAGACAAATCTGATGGCCAGAGAAGGCCTCCACTTTACCAGGACCCTCCTGCCCCTGCCACTGCTTTCCGAGAGAATCCCTCCCTGACTGCATCCTTCACAATACCATTTTTCAGCAAGGCATTGACAATCTTGTGTTTTTGGAAAGTAATTCTGATGGCATGGGTTGTTGAATGGGTTAGGACAGGGTATCAAACACAGGAGTTATTATCTTATTTTAATACTATAGGAGACATATGGGGAGGGTCTGAATGAGATAGCAGAGAAAAGAGGAATTTTAAAGATCTGGAAAAGACTTGATTACGGATTGGTTTTTCCTACAACAGCGCTTGGGGGAGGGGAGGGCAAAGGGAGATTATTCATTCATAACTCATTTACACAAAGGGGGGAGAGCGCCATCTACTGGTCAGACACAATGGTTAAAACTGTTTTAAGTCAGTCACCTCAGCAAGTCTGGCAAGAGAATTATTAACTGTTCCCGTTTCCACCAATGGAGTCTACAATATTTACTTCCAAAGAGCCTTGAAGATGTTGTTATCACCATTATGGATAATAGCGATATTCCATTTACAACGTACAGTCTACAGTAACGGATCATCACTTATTATAGGGATGGGCCCAAAGGTCAAAAAGAGGAACACAGTTACCAGTGAGAAATGATATGGTAAAAAGGAAAGTAAGAATAGTCTAGGCTGGTTAGCCAGAGACGGGTAAGATTCCTCAAGGGAGGGACAACCTAAGACAGGCACAGTCGCAGGGGGGCCATCAGGTGAGAAATTGGAGACCAACAAAGGGAGGCTTAGAACCTCATCCCCCCTGTTTTGAGAGAAATCTGCATCCGTGGATGTTTTGTTGCCCTTGTCTAGCTTGGATTAATACTTAGTCTATAGGCACACACCTGATCATCTACATTTGCCCTTTTATAGCACTAAATTATGTTTTCTACCTTTATCTTGCATCTACCTACACTTCAGCATTTTATTAAAAATAATAATAATAATAATAAGGGAGAAATGTGGGATTCACATATAAATCATGTATAAAAATCAAACGACTAATCATATCTGACTTGATTGTTTATAGTTCATGATGCGTGATCAAAACCGAAAGTTTCTGTGATATGACTGCCCTTGCACTGTTCACCATGTAAGAACCTATTCACTATGTAAGACCTTGTTCACCATGTAAGAACTTGTTATGCTTCAGAAGATTGGAGACTATTGAGAATTAGGCTTGGGGTTGATTAATGACTGTGCATTGAGTCCCCTATACAGAATTTTATTGTTGTTAACAACCATTTGATCAATAAATATGAGAGATGCCCTCTCAAAAAAAAAAAAAGAATAGTCTAGGCATGTCTGTGACAGCATATGTTCTCAGCTGAGTGACAACCTATTGAAGGCAGGTGTTCTCAGAACATGAGATGGAAAGAGATCAAAATCAGCCCTTGGAGGAGCTTTTTTAACCCACTGTCCTCACCTGAATTCTGATGATACACTCCTTTCCACCACTGAAATCTCTTCTCAGTTTGCATTAAAAAAACTATTAAAAGGTCTTGACCACTTCTGCAAGTAGTATCTGAAAGAAAAGTCGACCAAGAGTCTTTGTGAGTAGACAAATCATGTTTTCCTAGAATATTCCTGGTACTTCTAATGTTAGAATCTGGCTCTTCCCATCTTCCTCTTTTCTACTCACTATACCTAAGGTGTGTGGGTTTGTCAGGGCCCACTGAAAGTCTTTTCTCCTACACAGAGCCATTCTAGATAACTCTCTATCTTTCCAGACAACCCAGAACACTTATCTGGAATATTAATTTTGGTTCTTGTCTCTATGCAAATTTGGCCTTTATATATATATATAAAATGTCATACGCAGTACTGCAAGTGTTTCACCTATTCTCCAACTCCCCAAAATTATGGCAAGCTTCCTGAGGAGACAGACCATGTCCTCTTTGTGTCATCAAGAAAATGGAGCTTAGTGTGAGGGATACTGCAGGTACCCAATAAATGTCTATTCGACATATGTATATATTAATTAGTTCAGGGTTCTCAACCTTCCCACTACTGGCATTTGGCGCCAGATAAATCTTTGTTGTGAGGCTCTCTGCAGGATGTTTAGTGACGTTACTGGTCTCTACCCACTAAATATCAGCAGCAAACACCCTGCTCACAAACACACATTGCCAATGGGTGGGTACAGAACAGGGAACTCCTGCAGTGAAGCACCCCTCTGTTAGTGTAACATTCATTAATCTTATCTGTTTAGCTGCTCCTCCACAGAGGAGCTTCAGAAGAGACGGACTTGCAACTTGTCAAATTAGGGCTAAGGAGAGAAGCAATAAAGCAAAGCTGTTACATCCCAGGGACATAAAGATGTCTCCTCATTCCCAATGCCTTTATTACCAAAAAGCCCTCGATAAAGGGTTTGACCTTAACCTCAATTACTTGGTTAGGTAATGTCTGCCAAGTTTTTCCACTGTAAAGTTACTATTTTTCCCTTTCATACTCTATTCTTTGGAAGTGAGTTATTAAGTCCAGCCCACACACTCAAGGGAATGGAATTAAGCTTCACCTCCTTGAGGGGAAATTATTTATATTTTTAATGTGGAATTCTGCAAAACCTGTCTCTTCTCCCTCATTTATTCATTCATTCAATATATATATATATATATATCAGTGTGGACTTGTGTGTATTCATTCTATCCTTTTTGAGTTGTACTTCAGTACATTGATTTTGTTGCTAAAATTGTTCCTTGGTACAATTGCTCAAATGGTTCTCTTGGCCCTTGATAGCCGTTGCAGGTTTTTGTTCCTGTGCCCTTTCAACAGGCTCTCTTTTTTAAGGATTGTTTTTGAAAATCAAGTGTTATCCTTTGCAATTGATTTTTTATTAAATATGGTTTAAATCCGGCAAAGTCTATGTCTATTTATGTTTCTCTGCATGTGTGTATGTGTTTAAAGACCTGTATGTCTGATCTGTTTAAAGGCCTGTATGTCTGACCTTGTTAGGTACTAAACAAAGGTTAAATTCATTCTTAAAACTACACAACGCAAGTCCCAAGGAAATTATTATGTGTAGACCCATTCATTAGGCTTCTATTAAACACAGAGAATGTCTTTGATATGTAACTGCTTGTAGCTGTGCTGTAAATGCTCATAAAATAAAAATTTATTGACAATGATGTGGTACAAATTGCTTCACATAGGAAAAAAACCTGGAGGTTCTATGGCCAAAAGTTTTGTCTCTTTTTTTTTTTGATAAGTAAGCTAGTAATAAATTTATCAAAGTTTTACTTTTTAT